GCCATTAAAGAAGGGCCTAGGTACACCCTTTTAATATTATTAAATGCCCTTGTTAAATGCCTATTTTCATTATATTTCCAACGGCGTTTTTATTTTTTCTTTATATTAAAATAGGGAGCAGGAATCGCCAAAAATGTATTTTCTCATGATATTTCCCTATGTCCCGCTGTCAACTTACCACACTGTATGCGTATGTTTTACTAATATATTTTTTTTATTTGCGCAACATTTTAATTTATAAAATGAATTATTAAAATAATTTAAGTACCTATGCTGTAAAATTAGAACATCACAGCTGTGACACGCAAAAGTAATAGCTGATCCCTAATTGCTGCTAACTTTGGGTTTTCTTACAAGAAAAACTACACAAACAACAAAACAAACATTCATAATAAGTGAAAAGTAAAATAAATTCGATACTGTTTTGATTTAATAGTAATAAAGTGTACTACATATTACTTCACGGACTCGAGTGCAAAGTTTGGTTTTCGTAAAATAAGTTGAAAACGATTACAAAACAATTCAATTTTCGTACCTACGAACTACCACGCCCTGGATATTAATAATAAGAAATGTTTTTATGCAATACAACTCCTCACTAAGTTTGTTATTATTGGAACTAGGAAGTTGGCTAAATTAGAAAATATTAAGCATTTTTAATGCATTTCTTATTTAAAGAAAAAGACACTATGATCACTTTGTCGTTTGTCTGTTACTCCGCAGATTATCTCTTATTTAATTAATTTATTTCTTATTTAGTTATTTATTATTTAGTCTACTAAAAAGCTGGAAATAGTGTTATTGTATGAATGCCGCTCGAGGGCCTCCAGGAGCAAACCTGCAAATTTCAGGAAGATCGGCCAGTAGCCTCAACAGTGCAATGGAAATGCACTTCAATCTCTCGAATCATTGAGACCTTTCCCATTTTGATTGTTAATTTTCCTATCGCACTTGCCAACAAAAATACTTCATATTTGTTAATTTGCCAAACTTCGTATATTAAACTGACTTACCGATAATTTCCAATGATGTATTCACGTTATCTTGTATCAGTATTTTTTCAAGGTAATATATAATGAATAAATAAAAATACACACGTCTATACTTTTTAAAATAAAAGAAGTCTTTATCATTCGAATTAGTTAAACCTACTGCACAATCTTGTTGCAACAACATACCAATACCAGTATGTACTACCTATAAATTATTACATTTGTCATGTTACTCATGTTTATAGTTTACATTTATTAAGCAAAACAACCCTATAAACGAAGGAGAATGTTTTCAAATTCTGAGTATATGAGGTTTGTTTTAATTGCTCTTGTTACTACAAAACGTCAACGGTCAACTAAATCATAATGTCTATACTAAGAAAAAAGCGGTTTTGGCGTTATTTTATCGTGTCGTATTAAATTATGCTTAGATGCCATGTAAGCCTGCAACTCGTAAAGGAAATATCAAGTTATATTTATAGAGTCGATAATTACTTTGTGTAGGTCCATATTATTCTTCATAAATAAGTAATAAAACTCAATCTACACTAGAAAACGTATTTATTGCTAACGCGTTTCGACAATTTCCATTGTCATTGTCAAAGCAAATTAAATTTTAATTTTGAAACAAGCATATTTGATTTCTTGAAATTTGGAAAATATGTAAGGTGATCTTTGGTATATTGGTAATCATCAAAAATGAAAATGATATACACCCCTACAACCCGTGATAGAACACGTGCGTCAGGCGGCACAGATTAAAAATCATAATCAATCATTATCAATTGTTGTATAAGTGCAATGTTATGAATATACAACATGTGGTAAAGCATTTACTTCAAGGTCTTTTTTTGTATTTATGAATTTGAAATCCCTCAAGAACATCCAATTTTGATTTATAATTACAAAAATGTAAAAATTTAATATTGTTTTGTGATGTCATAACATGTTTATGTTCAATTAAATGTTTAGCATAGTTAGATTGGTTTATGTTGTGATGTTTATAACAACTTACGTGTTCTTTATACCTAATATCAAAATTTTTTATTGTTTGTCCTATATACAGGGTGTCCAAAAAAAACGGACAGGCAAATTGCGACGCTATGGCTGATATTTTTTAATAAGCAACAGCATGGTTGGATATAGCTTTAATATGACTATAATTTGAGTAATAAATAATTTTAGCCGTACTTCCGGTTTAACCGGAAATGGCCCCTACTTTCGATTTTCAAATGGAAGGTATATGGTTTCTATCTTAAAATTGAATTATCAATTCATTCTCAATACAACGATGTCTAATTTTTAATATTTTATGTAATAAACAAGCAATTAATCGCAAATGAAAAATAGCACTTAAGTAGGACGAACATTGTTTGAATATGATTATTCTAGTTATCCATGACAGGACAACACTACCTGATAAAGCCTCATTTACACAACACCGGCCGGCGCTGACCAGATGGGATTAGATTACATTTAAATACAAATGCTAGCCGGTGTCAATCGTAGTAATATAAACACTTGCATTTGAAAATGCATAAACAATGATGAATCATCGAAATATTATCTGATTCAATCCCGTCGGCGCCAGTCGGTGTAGTAGTGTGAATCAAGCTTTAAATGTCATCTTGACGGATAATGTAATTTTCAGTCAAGGATAACTACAGAATTAAAATTCAAATTCTCAAAATCGCCTACTAACGCGTAATTTTTCTTTTACGACTAATCGGTTATTCGTTGTGTAAAATAAAGAAAATTTGACATCGCTGTATTCAGAATGAATAGATAATTCAATTTTAGAATAGAAACCATATACCTTTCATTTGAAAATCGAAAGTAGGTGCCATTTCCGGTTAAACCGGAAGTGCGAGTAAAATTTTTTATTACTCAAATTGTAGACATAATAAGATCATATACAACTACGTTATACTACTTATTTAAAAATATGAGCCATAACGTCGCTATTTGCCTGTCCCTTTTTTTGGACACCCTGTATACTGCATTACAAGAGCTACAATTTAATTTATATATACCCGATTTTAAAAAATTATCTGTTTTATCTTTAGCATTGAAAAGAAATTTAAATGTATTTAAGTTAGTTTTGTATGCTATTTTATTTGTTTTTGTTTTCTGTATAATTTTTGCAATTTGTTCTGAAAGTTTCCCTAAATATGGAAGTGATATGTAGTTGATGTTTATTATCTATTATGTTACCAAAAATTCGTTAACCTAAAAGAATTAATTTAAGCTGTAAATGAGGAAATGTATTTCTTTGCTGTAATAATTTTGTTTTATCATTTTATATTGTTTTTTTAAACATCTTTACTTTTAATTCTTGTAAAGGTTTTTACGATAAACCATTTCGTCACATATTCCTTTGGAAACTATATTCGCTAAATGAGCAGTACTGTTATTTTTGAATTACGGTTTGTATTTTAAGAAACAAAATGTGATCCTAAAACTCATAATAGAATTGAAAAATAGTGATGCGTGCCAAAAAATTTATTCCTGCACAAATGATTGACACAAACAAATTCGTTTTGTGCTTCCAAAATGGCGTAAAGTTGGCACGGAAACACGGTACCCAATATCTAAAAAATGGGTAGACGTGCCAAAAAACTTTTTTGTGCACAATCAAGTACAAACAAGGCACAAACAATTGACACAATAGAATTCGTTTGTGCTTCCAAAATGGCGTAAAGTTGGTTCGGGAACACGGTACATCATATCTGAAAGATGGTGGGACGTGCCAAAAAATTTTTTCGTGCACAATCAAGCACAAACAAAGTCCAAACGATTGACACATTAAAATTCGTTTGTGCTTCCAAAACGGCATGAAGTTGGCACGGAAACACGGAACCCCATATCTAAAAAATGGGCAGACGTGCCAAAAAACTTTTTTGTGCACAAACAAAGCACAAACGATTGACACAATAAAATTTGTTTGTGCTTCCAAAGTGGCGTGAAGTTGGCACGGAAACACGGTACCCCATATCTAAAAAATGAGCAGACGTGCCAAAAAACTTTTTAGTGCACAATCAAGCACAAACAAAGCACAAACGATTGACACAATAAAATTCGTTTGTGCTTCCAAAATGGCGTGAAGTTGGCACGGAAATACGGTACCCCATATCTAAAAAATGGGCAGACGTACCAAAAAACTTTTGTGTGCACAGTCAAGCACAAACAAGGCACAAACGATTGACATAATTAAGTTCGTTTGTGCTTCCAAAATGGCGTGAAGTTGGCACGGAAACACGGTACCTCATATCTAAAAAATGGTGGGACGTGCCAAAAAACTTTTTCGTGCACAATCACGCACAAACAAAGCACAAACGATTGGCACAAAAAAAATTGTTTGTGCTTCCAATGTCGTGCTAACTTCACGCACCTATTTAAGATCCTTATCAAATGCTTCATAGTTAAAATTGATGAAGCTTCTATACATTTTATATACAGGATTTATCTTATATGGAGGAGAGTGTACAGCACAAAAAACCGGGAAATGGTCTGAAAAACATATGTTATCCAGCACGCTTGTCCTCAATATTTTTATATCAAGCGTTGTGATGATCAGGTCCAAAAGTGTTGATGAATTCTTAGCAACACGCGTAGGCGTTTTTATTACTTGTGTCATATTAAGTGACTGTAACATGGCCAGCAACTTCGTACTTAGCGTATTACTGCTATTTAACAGATCTATATTAAAATCTCCTAAGCAAAGGAGTTTGTTAGTGGACACAGAAAAATCTATTAGAGTATCTTCTAAATTATCTATGAAATCAAGGCCCGGTGAGTTAGGTGGACGATACACTGCACCAACAATAAATTGTTGATTATTTACAGTAAAACTTACCCACAATTGTTCAATACATTCATAAATACCAGTCCGTAATAAGGTTACATTGAATATTCGTTTAGTGTAGAGAATAATACCACCTCCTCTAGTAAGTCGATCTATTCTAAAAAAATTATACCCTGTGATATGTAGATCTGCGTCAGGTGTACTGGCGCTTAACCAGCTTTCTGTTACAGCAATTATGTCGATATCATATTCTACAACAAATTGTACAAAATCATTAAATACTGGTAGCAATGAACGAGCGTTTAAATGAACAAAACAGAGTGATTCCAACTTCATGATAACGGCGCGAAATTACTGAAATACATAAATATAATTAATTACTATATTATTTATTTATTAATTATCGCAATGTGTTCAATCAAGGGTTCCCATTACCATTATTACATAGATTACAATTCAAATACAAAAACAAAAGTACACAAGGTGGCAGAATTTACACAGCTGTAAGATTCCGATTGAATTAACTATTTTTATTAGAATCTGATCAAATTAAAATGAACTCTTCAATATAAAGTAAACAAAAATAAGAAGTATGTTTCTAGAATATTTAGTTGTTGTTTACAAAGTCTTGATAGGGAAAGTAACACAAATATATATGACTATACTCAATTGAAATCAAAGTGTATTATGCACGATTAACTTAAAGAAAATTCCACTTGATACCAACTGCAAAAAAGGATTGGTGTTTATCGAGTCCGTACTTCTGTAGCGCACAATAAGTTTTCATTGTTGTTGATTGATACGCAGCTCCACTAAGTTGTAAAAATACAGTGTTATATATCGATTAAAGCTTTTTGGTTGACACATCTGTAAATCTTATCATCCTTTTTAACACAAACGACCCCATCGGCAGTCCAAACGTTTTTTGCACCAAATTTTTGTTTAGCTTGAATTAATAATTTAAAACGTAAGTTTGTTAAATCCTCAGTAATGAAGAAGTTGGAACTTTTTAACTTCGCTTTATTTTTGTAGACTAAATTTCGAGCATTATACGTCGAAAATTTGATAATTATTGGCCTAGGTTTGTTTGGAGCTCCACTTTTTATTCGATGACACCTGTCGATTGCCCATGGATCCAAACGAACTTGCAATTTTTCTTTAAAAAACTCGACCAGTGTATTTTCGACCAATTCATTAGGATTTTCGGGAATTCCGTACACACGCAGACTATTTCTCCTAGTATATTGCTCCAACTTATCGTATTTTTCATCACTTTCACTGACTTTTTCTTCCAGTTTGATAACGCGTTCACGTACACAGAAAAAACGCTTTGATAATCTGAATGGGATAATCATTGAGGCAATGGTGTACTGTATTTGCAATACCTGAATAACACCTATGGTTCAATTAATAATTGCCTTACTTTTATGTGTGCATAGCTACGTAATATTCGTTGAAACAATAAAACCCATTGAATTAAATTATGATTCTATTGAATCTTTAAAATAAAATATCAGTTCAGACGTAAGTTATTATTGGTATAAACTAAATTATAATTAGAATCCATTGGTTTTTAAAAATTGCTATATTAAATTCAATGAAAGCTCTTAATTCACTTGAATATGCATATTCTTGCGAAGATTAGTTGTATACCTACATTAATGTAGACTTTTTTTTAAAATAAATGTAAATTTCTTTGGATAAATATTACTCTCAGATAAGTCAAAAGAAGGATTCTATTTAAACAACTCCAACCTGCACTTGATTTAATTGTATGGAACTTTTCTTTTAATGAAATGGTTCTATTATTTAAATGTAGGAGCATTTATTGATTGAATATTATTTTTAAATCCATTTTATCTTTAAAGGCACCAGGCACTGATTAAATAAGAGGATTTTTGCAATAATAAACCAATAGTATATAAACTCGCCCATTTTTTATTACATTAAACAAAATAAAAATATGTCAACAAAGAAACAACACAGCTCTAGTATCAGATCATACTACAAAAACAAAGCAATCAGCCCTGTGATGTATCAGAAACGTTACAGTGATACATCACAGGACTGAATGTTCTATATATCTATATATGAATCCTTACATTATTGTACTACTATCTACCAAATATTAAAAATAAAAAAGTGAGTCTAAGTTTAGGAACAAATAGGTAATAAGTCTCCAATTTAAACTAAATAGCCCATTGAGTTTGCTTTCTTTAACAAGAAATTCACAGAACATTTTCAAAGAACAGTTATTTCCTTAACTAACTTTAATTCTTGTAGATAGTGAATTATTGTCGGACGACAATTTACATTATCTATACTTGAATCGTTATGCTGTACTAAAATATGTTTGATAATACAATATATTTGGATATTAATACTGCACAAAACAACGTCATCTATAACAAAGCGAATTCCGTTTTTTTCATACCAATTCACTTGGTAAAAGTTATTTTTATAAAAATTTAAATTTACGTCATCTGAAAATGTGTAAGTTTCAACATTTAACGTATCAAAGTTTGGTCTACTCATAGATATTCGATCATCTAAAGCCCTTTGCATAGACAGGCACCTTGCTACAAATTGCATTTGACATTTTTTAGCGAGCGTTAAAGGAATATTTTTTCGAGTGCTCACGTTGTTTGCAATTTTTTTCAGCTCCCTGTGTTTTGCCTCAAAACGTTCACAAGAAATTTTAGAAACTGGCCCAATTTTCCTTAAAACCATTGTATAATGAAGTAACAAATGATGTTTGGGTTTTAATGTGATATGGGGAAACACTTTTTTTAATTCACTTAAATATTTAGGTATTAGAGTGTCCAATAATGTTATACAAGAAGAAGATATTTTAGTCTGAGACAAAATTTCGGTTATTTTTAATAATTGCAAATAAACCAACCACGCGTTATTATTAATTGGCACAAGATCGCCAACGAAATACCTAAAATTTTTGACAAGTCTCCATTTCTGAAGAAGATAAAATTAACATACCTTTCTCAATGTGCTCCTTCTTAATAACAGGAGGGTGATTTTTTTCACAAAATTCATATTTAAAATATTTAACCCTCGAATTTAACGTTTCGAGAGTAAATACTTCTGACTGTAATAAAACCTTTAATATTTGAGCCATATCATACCTATGTATACCCTCATACAAATCGTGCATAATATCTAAGGACTGATTATTATAAACATGAAAGTAATTTAGCCCGTTCCAAATACAATATTCTTTTACACCATACTCTTTATTTTTAACATGTTGGTCATACATAAATCTTAAGCGATTATTTGAGAGATCCAGGTCTGATTGATATTGTGTGACAGTTTTTGACGTTATTCAGAACCTACAGAAATAGCAGAAAAACTCTCAACAAATCCTAACACAGAATTTACACCTAAATTATCACCCACCAATAAAATAACATTGAAATACAGTCTCAAGTTGTTTACTATAATACCGTTAGATTCTAAACTTTTAAGGTCTTCTAATAGACAATTAAAAATAGCTTCATTGCCGAATTCTGTTCTCTCAGAACTGTGGAATATTAAACAAGGAAAAATATTTTCTAATCTACTTATGTACTGCGGTGGTAGTGCAGCTATACTAAAGTAGACTACACCAACCTTGTACACACCAGCATGACTGCCAAGGGGATTTGAAGTTTCAAAATCATCAAAATACAATATTAATGGAATAAATGCTTTCCCTTGACTATTTTGTAATACCTCTTCCCACAAACTACCGTTCAACAAGTTATTATAAATACTATTATCAGAGTTTTTTGAGGCATATGATTGTGTCATATATTCAGAAATGTACTTTAAAGTTCCCGGCAGGGCCAAAAACTTATTTAAGGTTTCTGATACTGGAATAAAAGTGCACGTTCTGTTTTTAAGTATCATAGATGTTTTATTATTTTTATTAGATACGTCCCAAGAGGAACCAATTATTTTTAATTGAGGTTCTATATACTTTTTACTGCGATAAAAGAACTGTAGTCTTTTGTATTCAGTATCTAACGGCTCAAAGCATACTGCTAGAAAATCAATCAAGTCTTTAGCTTTTTGTATGTTTGTGTGACAGTCTGAAGGGAGCATGAACTCTTTTAAAATACTTAAGAATCCGGCATTTAAGAATTTGCTGATTAGATCTATAATTTTTTGTATAAATGAACGAGGTATAGATATCTCATTATGCAGGGTGGCAATAAGATGTAAAACACTTTCCTTTACAATATTTTCAAACTCTTTAGCCTTTGCATCTGCATCAAAAACAAAAATAGGTTCTTCGCTTATTTCATTATTGGACTCACTCGAAATCTGCATTTCGTCCTGTGTTGGAATATTTGAATCATTTTTTAAGAAAGTGTCAGTTGTAGTTGAATTATTATGTTGTGTTCTAAGGTGATTTTTAAAATTATCGCGCCTGCTGAAAGATCTTCTACAAATTGGACAGTCATAATTATATCTCATGGAATGAGCATATTCTAAATGGATTATGAATTTTTTTAGATCGCTGTTGCTGAAATCTTTACTACAAATTGAACAAATCATAGTGCAAAATTAATAACGGAGCTCTATGTTGATGTGCAAATATACCCACTCACATAATATTCGTTTATATGTACAATTTAAAAAAAACTTTTAAGGGGCTTGCCTATGCATACGATGACAGATAACTATTTCATTAAAGAAGTTATTCTCTCATACACTCATTATATGTCACTATAGGTAGGTACAATTCTTACACTTCTAGTAATATTACTACATTTTAAGAACTTATCCAAAGCGTTTTAATCATTTAAATGAATTTTTATAAGGTCTGTAATGTTTCCTGTAATTTTATTATCCGGAACAGGAATATTGAAAAAAATGCTCTGAATAGCATACCATATATGTTCGCTTTGGACTGGATAGTTAATATTTAAGGCGAAAAAACTTTTAAATAAAATATCAAACCCTTTGAGAGTGCTTTCGGCATGAAAATGGATCTTATCAATAACAACGTACGTATTTCTTATGTCGCTGAGCTGTGGACCCTCTACTATTAAATATGGTTGTACTTCCTTATGTATTTTTCGGCTAGCTGCTTTCTCCAGTTGAGTTTGCACTTTTCTCTCTATATCGCCAGGTGTCTACAACAAAAATGGTTAAACTACTCTCTTAAAGAAACACGGGGAAAAATAATGCATTAGAAGATTCACATTGTATGCTATCAAAGTTAGTATACCTAATTAAATTTCATTTGAATGGCTTTTCAAAACTATAATTAATTTACACGAACGGGCGATCAGAAATGAGTTGCTGTCGAGTTGCCTCTGGAAGTTCAAGTTAAGTAAGTACGATTTCCCATGTAAACAAAAATTCCAAATGTGACTCGACAGCAACTCATTTCTGATCGCATTGTATTTATTAGTATAATATAGTTTTTTAATTTATCTTCTAATAGATTTTTTATTAGTTAATCTTAAATGTTGCGACTTACGGTAGCATGAACGATGATGCCTTCCACAGATTCGTTAGTAGTGTACTTCCAGTGCTCTTTACCCGATCTAGAACGCCCCTTTGGTGGAAATATGTGTGGAAGCGAAACAATTTGTAATGCTACTATGGAGTCTAAAATATAACATTTTATTAACAAAAAAATGTATTTAAACAAAACTTATTAATCATACCCGCTGTAAGAGTTTCTTTTGATTTGAGTCTTTCAATTATATCCTGTAGAAGCGGGTCTCTAGTCTCATCAATTTCCTTTTTTCTTAGAGCTAAAATTTTTTCAAAAAATAAGTCCCAATTCTGTAAAATTGACAGCTCAATGTGTGGATACAAAGTTGAAAAGTCAGAATCAATCTGCAAATGAAGACAGATAATTTAGTTTAGGATTTTTGTTCATTTAATAGATTTTACAGCCACAATAGAGTTTTGATATTAACCATTAAAAAAAACAAAGAATGAAACTTTACATTTTACCACAATAAACAAAAATATTTTCAATTTTAATACGACAAAAATAATTATTATTAAAAATATTTTATAAACATACCAAAGAAGTGCCTCTAGGGTCGGATAAGATAGGCCAAGAAACCAATAAGTCAGACACTTTGACGTGGTCCGCCTCCTGTCTTAATTTAAATGTCGACTTCCAGTACTGAAGGACTTCATCCCACGGTTCCCTATGGTGTTTGAGCCATGTGACGGCATCACTTTCTTCTAAAATGTATTTAGTTTTGTTTTAGTTACCCAATGTTGATAAACCTATACCTTTGTTAATGGTCCTCTTTTTTAAAACTTCAAATTCGTTGTGGGGAATTTTCCTTTTTCTGACATACACCTTGTCAGGACTTTGATGTAAAATATTATGGGCTTTGTTAACCAACTTGCCTTTTGCTGGAACTGCCAAATTATTTATTCGTTTCCCTGAATAATAATAGGTTTGCGGGCTCTCGTTGGGGAAAAGGCCGATAATTTTAGAGCATAAGATGTTATATTGGGCATGTGTCAACCGGCTAAAAATATCTATATTAGAGTGATCCAAAAAACATACAATGATACAACAGCAAACACTACGTATATTTCAGGTTATCTAAATCCAAAAGCACTTACTGTTTTAAAATATATGAATAGACGTGAGTTATAATTAAGTCGACCAATTTGTTCCTCAACGACTCTGTCAATCGCTTATTTTCGGAATAAAAACTGAGAATTTTCCCACCATGTGGTACTACATGTAAAAGTGTTTTAAGGTCGAACTCTGGAAACTGCTTCTCATAATCTTGCGTCCATATGTTTTCCGCTCCATAAAATGAAATTGATCTGTTTTCCGTGGGCACTATTACAAATTCTTCCGAAATGTTGCTGAAATTAGAACTTGCTGACCCCTCAGCACTATTAGCAACACTTATTGTACTTGATGAAGTACAAGGGCTAGGGCTACCATCTGGAATATGCACATCCTAAAACAATAATAGGGATTTTGTCATATTTATTATTTGTGCACGAATTGTAAAAGATTGATAAAAACTTGGTTTTGCAATTTGCATTTCTTGTAGATGAATGCAATACCTATTTATAAAAATTAAAAGGGTTAACGGAACAACGGAATTTTTGTTGCTGGGTTATCGGCTCATCTATTCTTATGTTGCATCAACACCGACTGAAATGTGTTAAGTGGATAAAAATATAAATAAAAATGATCTGTTTGACAATAATTAAGGTGTTGACAGCACAAAAAATTAATGCGTCGCATAGGGCATAGCAGATGAGTACGAACAGATAACATGGATAAACAGTTAGCACATTTTGCTGGTCTCCAAGTGAACTTTCAAGTTTAGGGGTTTATACTGACAATATCAATTGCAATGTAAAGATTTTTTTCTCTAAACTAATGATAGTAAGAAAATTATTTAATTGCAACCGAAATGCAACACATGACGCAATACTTAAGATATGTTTAAGATTAACTTACCGTAAGTGTTAGATCATCCGGTATCTGCAAAACCATTAATTGGTTTATGTTTTCTTTATTCATTGTGGATTATGGCACTTACATACGCAAAACTCGCAAAACGGCAAAATAATTGTAATGGCGTCGATGGCGATCACAATTCACAAGTGCACGGTTCACGTTTAATTAGCTTACATTGCAAATGTGTGAAGTAGAAGAGATGGTATTTAATCTAAAGCACTTATTATTCATTCTAATTTAGTTTTCATTGGAATGAAAATTACCAACATTAAAAGAAGCAAACACTATTATTTTTTCATTTGTTTTAGATATTTGGTTAAGCATTTATAAGTGTTAATATAAATAAAATTTGTATTTATCCAAATATTATAAATTTTCCAGTGATTAGTTAATTATTTAGTGCAATAAATTCTAATGTCTTGAAGGAAGTACACCTTGTCATTGGTATTAATTATATAGAACCATTTACACTATAATAATTTTTTTTAACTTAATAGTTTTGTAAAATGGGCTCAATATAATGCTTGTAATAATATCAATTTTTTGCCGTCTATCGTTCCAAACATGCTTCATTGAACAAAATGTATCGTTTATTGGCCAAATGAAAACATGATCAATCAAAGTATTGTTATTAACTACATCAAAGCGTTTTTTCTGTGTAAGGCTCCAACGACGGTGCTTATTTCGCTTTTGACGATATTTGTTATTGTAGTAATGATATGAGGCGAAGTAAGCGCCTGCTCAATTATCTTTTGAATATCAGGTGCTTCATTATCATCCAAATGCGTTTGTGGTGTCTTTTTAGGTGGCATGTTTCCTAAAAGAAAGATAATTCGACCGAATCACTGAGACAACGGTTCTTAACGTATGTATGCAGTAAGATAACAGATATCAACCGTTGTATTGAGTTGTTGATAACACTTCTTTAATTTAATGAATAGCGCGAGCGCGCACCAATACGTCTGTACTCAACTACAATACATGACCGAATGAATAATAAAAACCACCTTCTAAATTGGCTATTTAGACTAGAGACAGACGGCTGACAGACGAATATAGATCACATATTTTTATAAAAATAAATGTGGAGAAAAGGGTTTTTATTTGTTACTCAATAGAAACGTTTTTTTACTTTCTCGATGTGCTGACCTGTAAAAATTTTACTAGTTAGTAATATATGAGAATTTCATTGACAACTTAAAACTCAACTCACTATTTCATAATATAATCATAACTGTGTCTGCCTATGATGTCTACTAATTTATTCCTCATATATTCATTTAGAATAGTGCGTTCGTTACAGTAGTTTAATATAAGCGAGCCATAAGCGACAGTTGTTAGCAATGTATGGAGATCATACTCTGGCATTTTGTTGTCTTGGCTCAATAGGTCCTCCAACCTCCAACCCACAAAATGCAATGCTCTGAGAGTGGCCCAACGAGAAGTATACAGAGGGCTTTTGGGGTATTAAATTTAGAAATTTCGAAAAATCCTCGAACACGTCAATTTTGTATTCGAGGGGGACAACTTTTGGAATACAAATCACGAACCCCAGTCTTCACCCCTCTACGTAGGGAGCTTAACCTGTGATGTTGGGAGATACCCAACAATAAAAGTCACATCTCCTAAACTAAATGTATTTAATTAACGTTCAATAAACGCCGCTTACGCTTACGGTCGTTACCTTATGACATTCTAATACATACTCCTAATGCTAACTTGTTAACAATTACAGAAAAGTACACTTCCGTTTTATTGTGTAATTGTAGTATAAAATGCAAGTTAGAGGTTTGTTAACCTATGCATTATTGTCTATTTACCACATCTCCCCTGGGCGGGAAAAAAAAATTTTTGTCTCGGACAGAAATTTTTTTTCCTCTTTTGAATTTGAAATGTTAACCTAGATCTACATTATAGTTGAAATTTAAATAACGTCCTAAAATAAATTCCTTAGTCTAATAACATTTACCTAGCATTATATGTACATAATAAGCGTTTTATAATTCTAGCATTTCATAATTAAACTTAAACCATAAGTAAAGGGTGTGGCATTTTTAACGCACATTTTAAATTCGAAATTAAACACATTAAATAATTACGAAATTGAAATATTTTTATTGGAATTTGAAGTTGTGTTCATGACATTACGTATGGAATATAACATCATTTAAATGGCCACCTCTGGCTTGGTGGCAAGACCGCATTCTTTTATTGAAATTTTCCATAACATTTTCGCATAATTCTGGATCAATCTCCTCAATACAGCGACGAATTTCGTCCTTCAATGCATCGATGGTTTCAGGATTGTTCACATAAACCTTGCTTTTAAGAAAACCTCAAAGAAAGAAATCCAATGGGGTTAGATCGCAAGATCTTGGAGGCCAGTTAACATCGCTGAAACGAGAAATTATGCGATTTCCACGCAATAACTGCATGGTTTCACGTGCCGTGTGGCATGTGGCCCCATCTTGTTGAAACCATAGGTTGGGCACATCCATATCTTCAAGTTTTTGCCAAAAAAAAGTTGTCAACATGTTACGGTAATTGTTTCCATTGATGGTAACGGCAACACCAGCATCATTTTCAAAAAAATACGGGCCAATGACCCCTCCAGAACAAAATCCACACCAAACAGTGACTTTTTGTGGATGCATGGGTTTTTCATGAATCGCATGTGGATTTTCAGTACCCCAAATTCGACAATTTTGACGGTTAACATACCCATCGAGGTGCAAATGCGCCTCATCACTAAAGATGATTTTTTTGTGAAAATCAGCATCACGTTCCAACATCCAATTAACAAAATTTCTGCGCTGCGTATGGTCATTTTCGTGCAATTCTTGAGTCAGCTGAATTTTGTAAGCTCGAAGGTGAAGATCAACATGCATAATTCGACCCAGAGTTCTTGTTGAAAGGTTTAATTGCTGAGATCGATGGCGAATTGACATGTTTGGGTTTTCTTGCACACTCTCATTCACAGCAGCGATATTTTGGTTGTTTCGACGTGGTCGAACATGGCGATGGTCTCTATCGTCCTTCAGTGAATAAGTGCGCTCAAATTTTTTGATTAATCTGTCTACTGTACTGCGATATGGCCGGTTATGAACACCAAAATGATTACGTAACTTTCGAACCGTCACCGTGGAATTAGACCCATTTGCATAATAGGTTTTAAGAATCAACAAACGTTCTTGCGAGGTGTAGCGCGACATTTTTATGAATGTCAAACATCAAACTTGACAGTTGCCAAATTTGGTGAGTTTACATTCGGTAGTTCAAAAATGGCGGCAAATTTAAAATGTGCGTTAAAAATGCCACACCCTTTACTTAAGCTATCGTTTTACATTTCCTTTTCCTGTTTTTCAGTAAAGTATGGTTTCACTCTATTTTTATGCACTTCTGTCAGTTTATTATTTACACTAAGCACTAAATTTGGCGCTTTTTCTTCTACTACTCGATATGGTCCTTTAAAAAGTTCGTCCATTTTCGTCGCTCTAGAATCGTTTTTTACTAAAACTAAGTCTCCTACATTATACTTAACTAATGGAGTACATTTTTGATCATATACACATTTTCGTTCAATTTTTGTCTTAATTAAATTTTTTCTAGCATCAGCATTTGCTTGCTGTAGCCTAAATTTTAACTCCAGTGGATAATTGTCAAATGAATATAACGGTTCAACTTTATCATTCGTAACATTCGTTGGTAATTTTGGTAACTTTCCAAAAACTAATTCGTATGGAGTGTATTTTGTCGAACTGTGTTCGCTTGTATTATACATAAAACACCAGAAAGGAAGCCAGCTAGACCAAGCATTGTTATACTTTGCAGTTTGAATACGCAAATACGCCCCTAAATGTTTGTGTGAATTTTCGAGACTACCTAAAGTTTGATGGCAATAAGCTGTTGATTTCAAGTGATTGATATTTAACATTTTGCAAGTTTCCGAAAAAAGTGTTGACATAAATTCCGTACCTTGATCCGTTAAAATTTCTTCTGGAATTCCGTATCGTAAAATAAAATTATTAACAAATGATGTAGCTACAGTTACAGCTTCTTTATTATGTAAAGGATAAGCCTCTATGAACTTCGAAAGATCACACTGAATTGTTAAGATATATTTGTTGTTATTTACATCCATTTCAATTGGGCCTACTAAATCTAAGACTACTTTCTGAAACGCTGTTGTTGCGGTTGAGGTTATTGTCATTGGTTCTAGGTGATGTTTCGAATGTTTATAACGCTGACAATCATCACATCGTTTAACAAAATTTACAATGTCCTCGTGCAATTTATTCCAATAATAATACTTTTTAATGTTGGCGTACATCCTATTCACACCTGAGTGGCCTCCGGTTGGGAGTAAATGAAAATCGTTCAAAATAATTTGTCTCGTTGGTAAGTCGGTTATGGACTGGGTATTTCTTAATATCGATATTCTTATGCTAGCATTTTTCAACATTTCTGAACATTTGGCAATTTCTTTTATAAATGTTAAGTTTAAGGTACCTTCTTGTTTTATTATTACTAACTCTTTAATGTTCAATTGTTTACATATTTGTTGGAGATCTTTCAACGACGCTCGAAGATCCGACGTTGAACAAGATGCATTCCAATTAAGATAAATAAGTTGCAACTTTGAATCATATATTATGCCATTAATAAACTGTAAATGTTTTTCCTTGTCACATAACTTTTGAAATGTTTTTTCGTTGATGGGTTTCAGTTGGATAGAATTTTGTGGTTGTTTCAACAGCTCAACGATACCAGGGTGATCAGGCCTAATTTCGTTGTCCGTTGCGGTTATATTGGGTTCACGAATTTCTTTGGCATTTTTACTTCGTGATCGCGTTAAAACATTAATCACATTTTCATTATCCGCAGATAGTTTAAGTAAGTCGTTGTTTGAAATCTCGATTCGCGATAAAGCATCAGCAACTACGTTTGACTTCCCTTTAACAAACACTACAGTGAAATCGTATTCTTCTAGAACTAATCTAAATTTGGTAAGTCTACTGGATGGATTTGTCATTCCGAACAAATAAATTAAAGGTCGGTGGTCGGTTTGTATTTCAAATTTTCTACCGTACAAGTATGGTCTAAAGTGTTTTACTGCCCAAACAATTCCTAAAAGCTCTTTTTCTATTGTACAATAGTTAGTTTCGGCTTTATTCAATGTACGACTGGCATACGCAACTGGTCTCTCATCGCCGTTGCAAAGCACAGCTCCGAGTGCAAAACCTGAAGCGTCCGCCTTTAAAATAAATTTGTTATTACTATCAAAATTTGGATACTGTAGAACAGGAGGATTTGCTAATCTTGTTTTTAACGTATCAAATGCTAATTGACACTCCTCTGTCCAATTAAAAGTTACATTTTTTCTAGTTAGTTTGTTCAAAGGATATGCAATTTCTGCAAAATTTTTTATAAATGCTCGATAGTAATTTGCAAAAGCAATGAATCTTTTTGTTGAATCGGCGTCTTGAGGAACAGGAAATTCTTGAACTGCTTTAATTTTTCCTGGATCCGGAGATACTCCGTCCGCAGAAATGGAATGTCCTAAGTATAAAATTTCCTTACGTAAAAAATTACATTTTTTAGAATTTAGTTTAAGGTTAATTTTTCGTAATCTGTCCAACACCTTGATTAAGTTCTTGTTATGGTCTTGTAAATTATGACCGAATACTATGAGATCGTCTAAATAAATGAAACAATTTTGATAATTTAAACCTGACATGCCAATTGTCATTGCCCTCGAAAATGCACTAGGACTGACTTTTAGTCCCATGGGTAATCTAGTCATCTGGTATTGACCCGTACCTGTAGTAAAAGCTGTTAAATGTCTACTTCGTGTATCTAATTCTACCTGGTAATAACCTTGTGATAAGTCCAAATGCGAAAAATATACAGCTCCCCCGAGCGAATCTAAAATGTCATTGATATTAGGGAGGGGAAATTTGTCGTCCGTAATTTTTTTGTTAAGCAACCTATAATCTACTACAATTCTCCATTTACGATTTCCTTCGTTATCAACTTTTTTGGGTACTATTAGCAATGGTGCCGACCAAGCTGAGTTGGTGGGTTCAATAATACCTGATTTTAAGAGATTATTCACTTCACGTTCAATCTCAGATTTCTGAGACTGAGGAAGTCGATAGGGTTTCACGTATGATGGTGTGGCATTCTTTTCAAGGTGAATATCCCACATAACACAAAATAGTATGTGGAAATAATGTACCCGACTTTCTACGTATATGCTTCACATGTCATTCAAATGCATAGAATATGCAAAGTTGGGAACCTTATAAAAGAATGTCACGCATATACTGAGAATATGCTTGGTAACTGCAAAAAGGAAAAAGCAATTTACCTTACATATATAGTGCCCTTGTTTACAGTGCGAAAAGATTTATTTTTATATAGTTCTACCCTAATTTTACATTTCATTTCTTCTTACTTCTTCAAGTTCAAATTACGCGCCGAATTTATTTTAATCCTCCAGACAGTCAGCTGTTTGCCATCGCATTGAGCATGCGTCGCGTAGTTATTCTTATTTTCTAATGGCGTAGCGTGGTGTTTTTTTTAATTTGCACGTTTTGTGGTTGTTGACAAAACGGATTGTTAGATTATTATTTGCGTTCGCGTTGATATTTACGTTCGTTGGCAGTTTGCAAATTAGTTACCTGTTTATATTCTTTATCGTCGTTTTCCTTTCTCAGGTAAGTTACCTACTTTTATAAATTAGGTAAAGTTAATGAATGGCGTAATCAGGGGTGTAAAATACTGTAAATTGATATACTGAATAGAAATTTGTTTCATTGTTGTTCATTTTGAGATGTACATGCCAGTCTACATCACATTTCTAAGTACCTATATTTTTGTATAAATATTTCAGTATGTCGATGGATAAAAGTGACCGACAGCAAAGAAGGGACCGCAAGCGTAATCTAGATTTTGCTATGGCATATATAAATGCAGGTAACAAAATTTATACCAAACAAAAGAAAAACGATGAAGTCGATGGTCCAGTAATTCAATCGCATAAAAATGTTTTATTTACGGGTAGCGAGATAAATACATCGTGTCGTACTACTATAAATGAAAACAACCCTTCTTCGTCTAAGGGCACCTATTGTGAAATGGCCTCGCAAATCGATTTACAATATTCATATTCTGATGATTCACACCTTGAATCCGTTACAAGTGAAACCGATTCAGTTACTGTAGATCTAGATAGAGCAGGTGCTGATGTAGACACATCAACAATTGCAAAAAGGTTCAACTTGGAGTTATTGACAGAAAACTTATCGGAATGGATTGTCACGGAAAATATTACACACACTTCAGCATCCAAATTGTTAAAAATGTTAAAACATTGTGGATGTGAACACCTTCAAACTTTAGGGGTGAACAATAAAACAAAAAAAATTATATTGGGTCTATTAAGGCCAAATTTAAATACAAATGAAAAGTTGAGTTGCCACTTCAATCCTTATTATTGTTTGTATCTAATCACGGTACAACAATTAATATATTGTTTTTTTGCAATGATTAATTTATTGTTAAAACAATGGGTATCCTTCGTTTCAATGTGCCCCGTGACGGGGCACAATGAAACTATGGGTGGGTCACAATGAAACACCATGTATTTTTGTCAATTTTAGTCGTTTTATGATAAAAATAAAATAACAAGTCAGTGAACATTTAGTGACCCAAACGTCATTCCAAATTTCATGTATGACTTCTGACGATTGGTTTTTCCTAAGAAAGTTGGTTTCGGCAAAATTTGCTTTATTGCAGTTAATCTTACTAGTGATATGTCTGCAACTTGCGGCTTGTAGAAGTGATCGCTTATTTTGTCACTCTTCCTCAAGAAATCAATTTCAAATTCATTATTTTCATCTTTATCCGCGATAATTTCACCAACATACAATACTTTGTTCTTTCCAGTCATGAACTCTACAAGAACGTAGTCGCCTCTGATTGGTTCGACTTGCAAGTCTTCAAATTCATAATCATCATTTAAAACTTCTTCGATAAACTGCTCACTAGTGTCCGACTCCTGAAATTCTATTTCGCCATCTGATGATTCTTCGGAAGACTGGTTAGTAATTGGTACAAGTTTTCTAGTAACAGCCCTTTTCTTTGCCGGATTAACTTTCATATTTTCCCTTTCTGCTATAGCATCCTTTTCAGGAGTGGAAGTTGCTATTATGCTTTTTCCTTTTCTGCGGCCAGTTCTATTTGTTTTTCTATCTTTGGCTTTAGGAAAACCTATGATTTTTTCAGGACTTAGAAATGAACTCGGTGGTGCTACAATGTTAGCTGTAGAAGGGAGTGGATTAATCACATTATCTGGGGAGTTATCTTTTAACGTAGGATCTAATCGATCCGTTACAGAACTAGACATAAAATCTATGTCACTAAAAACATTTCTGTCATACGGAAAAATGCCAGGCTTTCTAAATGCTGCTATGATTGTAGCTGGAGTCATAGCCCTCTGATGAGCATAATTTACACATCCGGCAATTTCATAGATAGACAGCGTTTTGCCGGGATTTTTCATCATCCAACTATCAACTGCCATGTTATAGTATGTTTTAAATGGTTTGTAAACCCCAACATCAAGAGGTTGCATCTTATTTGTTGAATGAGGAGGAAATGTAAGAATTGTCACCCCGTTTTCTTTTGCTAAATCCAAGGCTTTGATATAAAGATGACTCTCGTGGTTATCCAACAGTAATAGTGTTGGATGAGTTTTAGAGCTCTGAGTATGTTTTATGAAGTGCTGAATAACTTCAACGAAAAGTGCCTTTGTCATCCACCCCGACGGGTTAGCTAGGCCTAAGGTACCAGAAGGCGCACCAGAAATCATATGGTTTTTAAAATGGACTCTTGGAAATACCATTACAGGTGGAATAGTGTTTCCAGTAGCATTCACAATACAACAAGTTGTGACAAGCACACCCCTCTCTGCACTAGTGCATTTGTTAACTTGTTTAATACCTTTTTCTGCCACAACCTTTGGAGGTTTCTGCACCGTAGTCGTTGCTGTTTCGTCAAGATTGTAAACCCTTGTTCCGTCAGCAAATGCAGGGTTACTCTCATAAACTTTATTCAGATTATCGAAAAATATCTGAACATTATGCTCATTAAAAGCAGTTGCTCTGGATAAACTACATCCTTCTGGAGTACGGACACTTAGCATTGGATGTCTCTTCATAAAGCCGTATAACCATTCAACACCAGCCATTTCTTCATGGTTCCATTTTTCCGGATACTTAATGGAATTGGCCTGTGCCACCTGATAAGCAACTCGCCTAATTTCTAAAGTCGGTAGTCCATAAAACATGCGTGCACAAGTTACTATATAATGCGATAAAGTTTCCTCTTGCTCCCTGGTGAAAATTTGTCTGACCTGGTAGTTAGGATTCATTCGGACTTCTTCATTTTCTTGTGCTTTAGTTTTCTTCTTAACATACCTGAAATTAAAACATTCATTTATCTACCTGGAAAACAATAGGTAATGCTTAATTGATAGAGTAAGATTTTTGGTAGGTAGGTAATTTTTAAAAACAAAACAGCAACTCACCGAAAAACAGTTGAAAAATTTAAACCAGTTTGGTGAGCTGCCTTTCGCAAACTCATTCCCTGATTAACCAAATTAACGGCTTCGCGCATAGAATCCTCAGAAAAGCTTCCTTTTTCACTTTTACGGACTCTGTTTCGTACCATAAATCCTGAAAGAAAAACGCTTTTTTTTTAAGCTGGGGCACAATGAAACATGTTTCATTGTGCCCCAAACCAAACTGTTTCATTGTAACCCACCCAACTTGCAATTTTACACAGTTTTAGGTTAAAATTATACATGTACTAAATATATCAAAATTGTAACTTACCAAGTTAATACTACTACTAGGAAGCGCGGGTTAATCACTAGCAGATTGAATTTTCTTGATAACAGGACCATACACAACAAAATTGCTCCGAAACTTAAAATTTACTTTAGTTGAAAATTTTAGTAGCGCGTTAGATACACAGAGAGAAGTAAACTATACATACTTACTTCTTGGTTTAAAACTTCGCTTATACACTCAGTTTGCTGTGCATAAGATGGCGCCGCCATATTCATAAAAGGGATTATGAAAAATGTACCTGTTTTATTGTGCCCCGTGTTTCACTGTGCCCCGGTCTCCCCTACCTTCTGATGCTCGAACGTTATTAAAAACACCTCGTGTAACTAGAGTTGATGTGATACAACCAGGAACGTTTTTCTATTTTGGCATAAGACACCATTAATGAATTTTTTTCTAAAAATAATTGTTTCGGACTGCTATCTGACACATCTGTTATTGAATTGGCAGTAAACGTAGATGGACTTCCATTAAGTAAAAGCAGCAATTCATCATTTTGGCCTATTTTAGGTGTTGTAAAGTCGTTGTCTACAGTAAAAGATAAGGTTCTTTTGTTTGGTCTTTATCACGGCTATCAAAAACCTGAAAATTCAAATGAATTTTTAAAGCAATTTGTTGAGGAAGCATCAGCATTAATCGATAATGGTATTGAAATCAATGGACACCACTTGGATTTTAAAGTGAAAATGCTTATTTGCGATTTGCCTGCTAGGTCTTATGTTTTACGTGTTAAAGGCCATTCTGGACATTTTTCATGTAATAGGTGCACACAAGAAGGAGATATGATTAATAATAGAATGTGTTTTCCGGAGTTGCATTTTACAAAACGCACCGACAACAGCTTTAGAAATCGAGCACAGCCCCAGCATCATCATAATGAACCCACTATATTGTTAAACCTGCCATCATTTGACATCATACAAGACGTGCCTTTGGACTACATGCACCTATTATGTTTAGGTGTAATGAAGCGTGTATTAGCAGACACAAAGTTTGGATTGGTTTTGGGAAAACCTGGATATAAATTACCAGCTAGAGATGTTTTAGCTATTTCAAATTTAGTTTTAAAATTAAAGAAATATGTCCCATGTGAGTTTTCCAGGAAAACTCGACCCTTACTTGAAGTGAAACGTTACAAAGCCACTGAATTTAGGTTTTTCTTATTGTATGCATTGCCAGTTGTCTTAAGGAATGTAATGAAAAAAAATAAGTTTTACAAAAATATTTTTTATTATACCTGAATCACAATCTCCGTTTTAAACACTCAAATGCGTGCGAAAAAGGGCCTTTAAAACACACGTGCTTTAAAGTTGCTAAGTAACGATACTTCCAGTATGACTTTTGAAACTGTCATCTGGATGAAATAAAAAATCCTCTTAGGTCGCTTTCTGTAAATGCAGAACATTTCTTTGGCTTTTGTACCTATCCTTTGGTTGAAGATTTCACAAACGCGCGTAATTTAGGGTATGCTTCCAAATCTGTTCCACTTTTTAATCGCAGCATTGCTTTAAAGTTTTGAATGAATGCACCAAAATATAGAAGATACCTTTGACATTTCCTTCATATATGCCAGCATTATGGATGCATTTAAGACTGTATTCGTAAGTAACTTCCTATTCATCCATGGAAACAACTTTCATATTCTTTATAATAGGCTTTACTGGAGTTGGATTTTATACCTACCAACGTTTGTTTAGATTTTACAACAATCGATTTAATGGACGGTGTATTATCTTTTTCAACGGAAATCGTTTAATTCACAAAGACGATGATTTTTATAAGCAAACGTCAAGTGACATTTCCATGGCAATCGTGAAATTACGAACACCCAGCTCACTTAATTAGACATGTATTCGAGTATAACGTCAATATGACTTCATTGTATTTCCTATTTTTCAATTATACTGCAGGTATAATAACAAATACTATAAGATACACGTGTATATGGTCTTTAAAGCACTTGCAACGTTAAAGGCACTCCGCTTTGCGTCGTGCCCTTAAACTCGTTGCGCGTGCTTTAAAGACTTGATTATACACTTGTATCTTAATATACTATTAAAATTGCATGTTGCATCCTCAATTTTAGTGAGTCCTAACCTTTGCTCTGATCAGAATTATCAGGAAACTGCGAAAGAATTGCTGTATAGTTTTGTCAAACAAAGCAAAAAGTTATATGGTGCTGATTTTATTTCACATAATGTACACTGTCTTTTGCATTTGGTGGATGACAGGAATCGGTTTGGCCCACTTGATAACTTTAGTGCATTCCCCTTCGAAAATTACATGAAAACACTTAAGAGAATGGTTAGAAAAACTCACCAACCACTGCAACAAGAGTAAGAAGATCGCAAGAGTCTTGGTATTCAAGAAATACTGCACCAGACACTGGTGAAGAACAAAATTCACGTAATGAAGAATGTTCTGTGAGAACTCTAGAATGGATAATCAAAACTAATAATGCAGATTGCTATTTTGAATTAGAGTCTGGTGAAATAGGCAAAGCAAAATGCATATTCTTCCAACAAAATAAAAAAATTGTTACTGCAAATTTTTTTAAAACTAAACAAAGTTTTTACACTGTTCCGTTGGATTCATCTGCGTTAGGAATCTTTCTATGTTCAGATTTGTCTATCGAAGATCAACTTATTGATTCACAATATATAAAGTGTAAAGTAATGCTGTTACCTTTTGATCAGAAATTTGTTTCATTTCGTATGTTACATACCATATAATTTAAAAAATTATCAAAGTCCTCGTTTGAGATCGAAGGGACTTCAGCGCATTTTTGTGTGGCAGATCAGTATTCTATTAGCCACTTTCGATTCAACCGTCAATAACAGATCTTGTCGAAGGCTACTACATTCACTAACCGCTTCCCACTTTCCTCGTGCACCCGCAATTCGCTTTTAAAGATTTGACTCCACCATCAGGAAGATCGTGTCGGGGGCTACCACATTCCCNAAATCTGCTGTAACTGGATACGAGTTCATGTTACTGTCGATCCCATCATCAATATCAGAAGCATCGGAGGGTGAGTAATCAGGATCTACATATGAATCATCATCGTTGTCAGTAATAAATTCCCCTGGTTCGAGATTGGTCTAAAACAAAAACTCGGTTGTTATCTCTGTCTCACTAAGATATGTAGTTAGCCTATTGGTAAAACCGACATTGCTTAAAAAAGTTTTGGCTTGTGTTATCATTGTTTCCTGTCGATCTGCATTTTCTAAAAAAATGAATAAGATAAAAACCACTCACCGCATTAGTTTCAATCGTAATGTTCTGCAAAGTTGCGTAATTATTCGAATCGTTATCCTCAATCAGTTGGATCTCATTGGATACCTAAAACCAATTTAGCAATAATACATTTTAATAATAATATTGTTTGGTAATCTATTCAATCGCAAAATTTAGAATTTGAGTGCCGTTTATTCCATTATGTACAAGTATACTTACAATAGGAGTTAAAGGTTGTAATGACATTTCAGGTGAACAATAACAGTTATTATCAGCTATTGAACTTGTAGGTAATGTTGACTCACTTCTCTGTTTCTTATCAACATTATCAGCTAAAAAATATAACTTTAATCCTCAATGCAACATAAATATGTGCAAAAGTGAACTTACAATTTTGAGATGCGAGTCCGCAGTTTCTCAGAATTTGAAGCGTCCTTTTATTCATTTTTATTGTTCATAAACAACACCACAAAAAGAATACCGTTACACTAAAATTTGAGGTTAAAACATGTGCAGCATAATAATTAATTAAGGCCAATGTCCAAAAGTTAATTCATGTAAAAGGGCTAATGTCCATCATGATGGACATTGGCCTTTATCACAATTAATATGAAACGGCCAAAGTCCATCGTTGAGGACATTAGCCCTTTTTCTATGAAACTCAAATGGACTTACGCCCTAATGGGAATTCACTATATTGAATATTAGCATACCGTGGAGATTGGCCTTTTTTTATATGAAAGTATGGAAGGCGACAACACTGTCTATGACATAAGCCCCAAACCGTAATTTATGGACATTGGCCCTTTTTCTTCCAAGGTACAGCATTGTGGAAATCTACCCGATGAGAATCAGCAGACGTTTGAGGAAGCAATTCAAGACGACGGAATGGAAAGACGCAATTGAAAATGAAATTTCAAATCTCACGAGAAACAAAACGTGGGAGATAAACTTCCAGAAGGTCGATTCCAGGTGGGTCTTCACACAAAGTTTATACAAGGACGAATGATTAAGAAAGCAAGACTTGTGGCGCGAGGGTACCAGCAAACAAACGGAAGTCGAAGAAGAAATTTACGCGTTCGTTGCTAGAATGATGACACTTTGTTCTGTTAACATTGACTGTGGAACAGGATTTCGAAAGAAATTCATCAGATGGATGTGAAGTGTGCGTTCTTAAATGGCGAGTTAAAAACACCAGTGTACATGTACACACCTAAAGGTTTGACGACAGAATCAGGTCACATACGTAAACTCAACAAAGCTTTGTACGGTTTAAAGCAAAGCCCAAGGTGTTGGTATAATCGATTGAACACTTTTTAGTTAGTAGAAATTTTAAATGATCACCTGATGATCCATGTTTGTATGTGAGGAAATTAATTTATTTACTAATTTGGGTCGATGATCTTTTATTAGTTTTAGGAAACCAAGCGAAATTACAAAATATTAAAGAGGAGTTATCAAAGCAATTTGAGATGACAGATTTAACAAAAGGTAAAACAATATTTTTAGGATTGGAGATTAAAAAATTTGAAAAATGTCTAATTATTGCTCAAGGCACTTTAATACAGAAGGTGCTTGACAATTTGGTATGACAAATTGTAAACCCTCAAATTTGCCTATGCAACCAAAATTGAATTTAAAAAGGGATGAAAAGTGCACAAATCTTGATTTACCATATAAACAATTGATAGGGTGTTTAATGTATATTATGTTAGGCACCAGACCAGATTTACGTTACACTGTAACGTATTTTAGTCAATTTCAGTCGTGCTACAATTTAACGCATTGGAAATATTTAAAAAATGTGTTAAGATACTTGAGAGCAAAGAAACAGCCTGTCGTAGCACTCTCTATTGCCGAGGATGAGTATGTCGCTTTATCAAATTGTGCTACAGAATGTTTATTTGTTATACAACTATTGGAGAGTGTTACTCAATTTAAGGTAACTCCTATTGAGATATATGAGGATGATCAATCTTGAATAAAGATGGCTATGACACTTGAGACAAAAAGATCGAAAATGTAGTCTTATTTGATATTTACGCTTATGGTTGTTAAATCATGTGTTGGTTATAGTTAATCTATGATTAGCGCAAAATTCTATTAACCGGTCCCCCCTCTCATTCCTGTTTCCTAACCGGTAAGGTCCTACTATGTTGTCTTCTCCACTTTCTCATACTACCGCATTCCAGTCTCCCGTGATGATTAAATTCTCTTCCCCCCTTATTCCTTTTAACGCGCTTTCTAGCTCTCCGTATACCTGCTCTATTTCTTCATCTTGATGCCCAGAAGTTCGCATATAAACCTGAATTGCTATCGTGTCGTAGAGACTGTTTTCTATTCCAACTACAATGATCCTATCGCTTATTATCCTGCAGATTTTAATTCTACTACCTAGCTGCTTGTTTAACACATACCCTACCAAAAAATGTATCTTTAAACATTTAGATATTTCTATACATAAGTACTATAGTACACAATATTGGATAATCATTTGTCAGTAATAGCACAGATCTTTGTATGTGTAAATCTGTGGTAATAGTGACTAGTTGCAGGTATAGTGCAATTCTTATATTTTATTAACCATACACGTATTATTTTAGAAGCTATGAAGGCGAAACTGGCAAAGTTAGAACTAAACAGAGCACAGTCCGACTCTGCGAGTGGCTACGACTGGCAAAAAATCGGCTTACTCAGAACAAAGAAATGAAAAGGCTGTACATGGCTCAAAGACGAGCAACACAAAGAAATAAAAACTGACCTGGATCACGATACACGACACTCCTCCCTAGATGAAACGTGTGATGTTCTTGTACGAGTATTTTAATAACGTAGGTTTCTTAGAACATAATTTATTTAACTCAAACAGATCAGTCATGTACAGATCTACGCGATTGTAATCTACAATGTTACCAACTCCTAAAACTAACGTTGCCTAATCTAATATATTACATCTCCCTTTCTTTAAGAAAACATTTTTTTAAAATTTTCACTTAAACATAATCCTTTAGGTATAACGGTTTTTTAATTTCTCTACCACGCTTAGAGTACGATACTAGTACTGCTAGTTTCTGTATCGTTACATTCATTACTTATGACTACCTGCTTATCATCTACTACATTCTTATCAACTACTTGTTCTTTTACCACTTCTCCTTCCTTTTTCTTAACTAAGTCTTTCCTATTTCTAACTATTTGTTTCAGTTTCTAATTGGTACGATCTATTTTCTTTTACATCGCCTACTTCTGTTTTCTGTAATGGACTATGTTGTCCTTTTGCAACCACCTTGTCATGCAATTGTAAATTTGTTAAAGGTTTGACTCCAATTCTATCATAGTAATATTTTTGAACTTCAGACCTTTTATCTAAATTTTGTTTAATTTCTAAATTTTGATCTCCTGGACCATCTAGTACTGGTAACAACCCTCTAACTTTCCTATTGAATAAAATTTCTGATGGTGACTTAATATTATGATCCATAGGTGTATTTCGTAATTCCAATAATGATAAATATGGATCTTTACCTTCAAATTTTGCTTTTTTAAACATGTTTTTTATAGTTTGAACATTTCGTTCGGCTAAACCATTTGATTGTTTATAATAAGGAAAAATATGTTTAAATCCCCATGATTTTGAAAACTGTTTAAATTCACTACCTGTATAATTTGTCCCATTATCAGTGTATAGTTTTTCTGGAATACCATGTCTAGCAAACAAACTTTTCATCACCTTAACTGTACATTCGCTAGTTAAATTATCGAGTGAAATAACTTCAACATATTTAGAAAAATAATTCACAACTAAAAGATAATTTTTTCCTTCTAGATAAAATGTATCAGATCCTAAGTCTGTCCATGGTTTATTTGCTGTTTCCCTAATTAACATTGGTTCTTTTTGGTTTGCTTTAATCCCTATCCTGCTACATGCTTCACACTGTGAAACTTTATTCGTAATGTCATAAAGAATTCCTCTGGCTCTTAGTTTACACTTTTCAATTCCCATATGATTAAAATGAATCCTGTCTAACATTTCCTTTCTCATACTTTTCGGAACTACTACTGCATTATTTCGAAATACTAAACTGTTCTTTACAAATAACTCATCCCTGACATTATAAAATGGTTTACAAATTTCTGGTACAGTTTCTTTAGTTTTAGGCCAGCCTTGGATTATTAAATTTTTCACACTTCTAAGTTCTTCACAATTTTCTGATTGATTTTTAAATTCTTCTAATTTTTCATGAGACATAGGTAATAATGAAGTGACCAATCCCACATGAGCCTCAATATGACAATGACAATCATCTTCAAAACATTCATTATTATTTACATTTCTAGACAATGCGTCTGCTAAAAATAATTCTTTACCCGGCTTATACTTTACTTTTAAGTCATATTTTTGCAACTGTAATCTCATTCGTTGTAATCTCAAAGGACATTCATTTCTTTACAACCTTGTACAACTTGAAATTTTAAATTTTTTTTTCGTTTTTCAATTTACATCCTAATTTTATTTGTCCAACTGTATCTATATAACTACCATTGTAATTTTTTTAAACAACATCTGTTTTGCCTACCTTACTAGGAAGATTTCTATTTATTTGTTTTAACATGTGTAATGGTATGACGTTACAGCCTTCGATGAAGACTCCCTTTCTTTATCAGCTACGTTTCTATTCTGCACCTTGGACTTAGTTCGCTTATGTGATATCGCCTGCACCGAACTCGTACTACTACTACTGCCTGTCGCAATTGTTTGTAACTGTAACGAAGCTAACTCGGCTGCTTTACAAACTGAAACGCATTTATTTAAATCTAGATCTTTCTCTTTAAGTAACCTCTCTTTCAAATTTTTATCTCTAATGCCTTTCACTATTTGATCTCTTATCAAACTATCCCTAAGTGTAGAAAACTCGCGATCTACACTTAAAGCAGTGTAACAGCAATGCTACTTTTGCCTCTTCCGATAACCTTACATCTGCTCCGCTTGCTTTTACGTATAAATTGTATCGTTTTTAACATTTCATGAAATTTTCTGCAACGTTTCCATTTGTATTAAGGGGTACTAGTTCCTTTAGCATCTCCATTTTGTAATGACAAATCTCGTTTTACTAACTGCGTAATTTTTATCCCTCGTTTTTTCTGATTGATCACAAAGATTTTTAACTTTTTCCACTTAGGTTTTTATTTATCCTACCGACTGCGCCATGTGATGTTCTTGTATTTTAATAACGTAGGTTTCTTAAACATAATTTATTTAACTCAAACAGATCAGTCATGTACAGATCTACGCCATTGTATTCTACAATGTTGCCAACTCCTAAAACTAACGTTGCCTAATCTAATATATTACAAAACGAGTCTATGTGGTGTACTTTTCAAGATACTTTGGAGGCTGTCTCAAACGAGTAGGTCGGCTTGCTGTATTTATCGAAAAATCCTTCGGCGGCTATTGTCCTGTGACCTCCACCTCTATTTCACTGCCGGTTTCTGATTCGGGCGGACTTTCCTGTCTTTCATCTCTGTTCCTTATCTGGTCTACGTGTCTTCGTATTATTTTTCCCTCGGGTGTAGCTATCTTATAGCTCAGAGGATCCGTAGTTTCTATGACTGTAGAGGGTATCCATTTTTGACCAGGCACGAATGATCTAGCGTAAACCGTGTCCTTTTCTTCAAATTTTCGGACTGGAGGCATGGCTGTTCATTTGAATTTCTTGTTTTCTCACCATATCCTTTGAGAAATCGGGAAAAACCTTATCCAGTGGGGTGGTTAACCTTCTCCCCAATAATTACATACACTGAGAGAAAAAATTAGTGATAATAACGCCAATAGGGTAATAGATACATCAACGCAACTTTGTATTCTGCCAAACTCATTTGATTTTATATTAAATACAACGTAAGGTATTGAATATTACTTTACATGTATAATTTGATAAGGTTATAGTTAATATACCATGTTGTAATATGCAAAAATCTACCTTAAAGGTTAATATTTAATACGGTTGGTACTAGCACATAAATATTTTCAGAAAATATGGTGGTTAGATGAGTACGAATTGTTGTGATCTGCAGCAATCGATTTTATATTAGTGTATAATATGTATTGTTTGTGTACATAATTTGATGAGGTAATAACAAACAAATTCGTTATAGGAGATATGAATTAAGCTTAGGTATTAATGTTTGGTGAGGTAAAACTTAACACTTTGCGGTGTTAGCAAAACATGGCTATGAAATAGATAGCACATATTTAAGTAGTCCGTAAACAGTTGTATTAGTGTATATCTAATTGATTTATATGAGTAAGTTAATAAGGTTGGTCATTAGTGTATGACGTTATATCATACATGAAGGCATCTTGAAGAGCAATACAACATAGTGATATAATTATTCCATGGTCACTTCTTTAATAGCCAGGTTGCGGACAGCATTTTCCGTTATGTTAGACGGCCATTTTTTCTTATAACATAAGAAATATAAATTTTTGTAGAAATAATTTACGGTATGAGGGCTTTTTGTACGATATATTTATAAATAGCGGAACCAATGAAAATGAAGTTCTTATAATGTGTCACTGCGCAGTACGTAATCACTCATAAATAACATTTTCCTGCTAACCTACAATTGTGCAGTGTTTATGTTGGCGGTAGTTCTTTTCTTTTTGTCTAAGAGCATAGTAGTGAACTTTGGACATTTTAACACAATGTAAAATAAAAGTGAGGTTAAGACTCCTTCAAAGCTATAAAAATGTTTTATACTTATAAACTTATATTATAAGGAAAAATGGCCGTCTAACATAACGGAAAATGCTGTCCGCAACCTGGCTAATAGGCCGTATTATTTAACTAATAATGTACACAATATGGGTAGGAAAAATCTTGTTGTGGTAATAATTAGATGTTATTTATATTTTCAGTTTATAATCTTTATTTAAAACATTATAAAACAAAATAACGTAAAAAACGATTGTCCTTAACTAATATAAAAATAAAAATAGATTAATAAATAATAATAAAAGTTATAATAAAAAATAAATAAATTCTATACAAAGCACAAACCAAAAATATCAAAATGCCAATATGCGCAACAAACAATGAGTGCAACAAAAAGTGTAGCATTATTTTTAATTTTTTTTAGCAATGAACGTCTCACTTCCATTTCGATGCAAAGCGAGCGTTACTTCATCTGTTATTTCACTTAAATTTAAAATTACTAATTCATTTATGGAAGAACTTAGCTTTATTGAATAAGCTTGAAAATGTTGCGAAAACCCGTACAAATCTAAAGGCGAACACACAAATTTAATATTTTTGTTAGTGTCGCATATAATATGCCTAATTAGCACAAATGTTGGAAATATATCAGATGAAGAGAGTTGAAGAGAACTATTTATCTTATAGCGTCTACCGTTAAAATCAACATATACCGGACTTGCAGATATTGTTTGACCATTAAAACATTTTTGGATGGTTATATAGTTAACATTTTCTTTATTTTCTGGACCTAAAACTAATTTGTCTTCGAATCCTTTGTTGAGCATAAGTCTGTAACATAATTTTAATTGATGTCTGAGACTAAGCGTTTTCATTAAATTTCGTCTTGACGTGACTATATGCGCGTTATCTTTGCCAATTTTGTGAAATGCTTCATATCGGATTGATGAAAGAAATCGTAAAGGACCTACAGCTTTTATGCAGCTAGGATAATGAGTCAAAAAATGGTGTTTTGGTTTTAACTTTTGCTGTGTCAAATTTAAATATACTTCGTGATGTTCTTTTATTATATATTTTAAATAATTAGTTTCATTGTCATTTGTGACCCTCTTTGTGATAATGTAAACAATATCGTATAAAAGTTTAAATAAATGCCATCCTTCGTCTTCTACATCAATTAAATCGCCTATCATACACGGAAAATATGTTAAGAACGCAAACATTTCACTTGCACTTAAGATTAAATTTTTGTTTTCAATATGATTTTTTTTTATTAACGGAAAGCGATTTCCACAATCTATTTTATCTTCGTATTCAAAGTATTTGATTCTGTCATTTAATTGCTCTAATGTAAAAAATGATTTTGTTTTTATGAAGTAAAATAGTAAAAAGCCTATTTCATATCTGCAAACGCCTTCAAATATGTCATGCATTATGTCAAAACTGACGTTGATCGTGCAATGATAACTAGGTAATACATTCCAACAACAAGCTTCTTTAACTCCGTAAGATTTATTTTGGGAATGTTCTCTATAATTTTCTAAGTTCCTTCGTTGCTCATGTACCTCGATAAGAGCATCTTTAGCTTCTTCCTTTGACATACAACAGTTTCGACAGAAATATGAAGAAGAAAAGCTTTCAGAGAAACCTGTTATTGAATTAATACCCAAGTTATCTCCTAAAATCAAGATAAGCGAAAAATAAATTTGGAAATGCTGATTATTTATGGCGATATTAATTCCTTCATTCTCTAAAAAAGACAATTCTTGAATAAAATGTTTGAATATTACTTGATTTCCATATATCGTTCTCTCATTAGAATGAAATAGTCCAAATAAAAATATATTTTCCAAAAGTGATGAAAACTTAGGAGGAATTCCTGCAATGGATACGTATACTGCACCCACTTTATATACACCGGCATGAGTGCCTAATGGGTTGCAAGATTCATAGTCATCAAAAAATAGTAGAATAGGGAACACAAGTTTCTGTCTATTTGTTTCCTTTAATTTTGCCCACAAACTTCCATTAAAAACTGAACTGTAATAATTTTCGTTTGCCATCGATTCTTCCGTTTTTATAAATTTATTAATGTTTTCAAACACATTCGGTAATTGTAAAAATAACTTCAAAACGTGTCGAAGAGGTACTATTTCTCCTTCGCACTTCTTGTACTCAAATGAAATGTTTCGTGATCTATCCAGCCGAAATCCAATTAAAAAACTTTTCGATTTTACAAGATATTGCATTTGTTCAAAAAACTGCAACCTTTTATATTCGGTGGTCAAATTTTGAAATGGATTCTTGTTCTGCAGTAAACTAACAATTTGATTTAGCTCGCAAGTGATGTTAAGAGGGGCCAAAATATTTTTTAAGATATTTACTATTTCATCAATAAAATCGGAAAACATACCGGAACAGTACTCAATTATTTCTTGAATTAATTTTCGAGTAATATTGCTATTGTATAAACTTAATATAAATGTATGAACAAGCTTATGTTGTTGGTCTAAAGACGGCAATGAGGGTATAAGTAATTCTACTTCAACGTGCTGATTAAGAACATTATTTGGTGGAGTGATTACATTGTCTTGAAGAGGTACAGGAGGTCCTGTTTCTGTTCTAACGGGTAAATTTGGATGAACCCTTTTTAAATGCTTTTCGAGAGCATAGATATTAGTGTAAAAATGAAAACATATAGCACATTTAAAATTTTCATGATACTTATGGTAAAACTTTAAATGGTTTGTATATTCGTGGAAATTAATTGATTTTTTGCATATCAAACAGTCTAAGTTCTCCATAATTTATTAATTTTTTGTAAATAAGCAGTTAGGACTTTGCGGCATTTAACTGATTAACAATGCTTATAATAGAAGGTATCTTGTGATCGTATTTTGTTTCTATTTTATAAATCGCACGTTGTATAAAGTACCACAAGTGCTCCGATTCAGGGGGGTATTTAAAATTCAATACTATAAAAAATTTAAAACATGCATCTAAACCTTTTTGTACGGACGGTACAATGTACAGATTGTCGTTAACTACCACCACCACTTGCTTCACGGTTGTTTCGTGGATTTCTACTACGATGTAGGGAAGAACCGGCAAATTATTTTTTTGATTCGCCTGTTGTTTGCTTGCAATTACTCCATTAATATCAGCAATACTCTGTAATAAGAAACCAAACTATTAGCAATCCACCCGATCAATTACCGGAGTAACAGTTACCTCCACTTTAACGATGATTCCGTTAATAGCATCATCACTATTTGGTTTCCATTGTTCTTTGCCTGATACAATTTTTTTGGTGCAGGGAATCAAGGATGACAACAATAAACAAGCGGTATACGTTTTATAGTCCTCATTTGCAGTTGCATTAAACACATCAACCCATGGTTTGTCCCTCAAAGACAAATGTTTTCGCCTTAAGTTTAAAACCTTCTTAAAAACACTTTCAAAATCAAGAAAAAGATTGTTATTGTTATTGGGATATACTTTTGAGAAATCCTCTTCGATCTAAAACAGAACAAGTGGATACATTTTTAAGCAAAAAAGAAAACAGTACAAACCAATGTGTATCCCAATGGATTTTTTAAGATAGGACAGTCTTCAAAAATTTGGGTTATACTTTTTCGTCAGAAAATGACTTGGTTCTGAGAAGATATGTCTTATTCCAAACCGTTTGCACTTCTTGCCACGGCTCAATATTATTTTTCAACCAAATATACTCATTACTTTGTGTTAAATCTAAAAAACAACTCGTTTGATTACTTATTTCGTCTGTGCACTATATCTACCTGAGGCAATCACAGAGCCTACTTCCGATTGAACAGACGCTGAATATCTCAGTAATGGTACCACTCCTGCTTTTCTTAGATACGTAATTTTATTTTTATATTTATCTACTAATTTTCCCTTTGATGCTTCTGATCGATTTTCTCTTGAAAATCTTTTATGCACTGGTGGGCAATAGTACACATCAGTATTTTCGTTAGGGAACAAAATATTCACTTTTGATGCTATAGTTTTGAAGTCATCATTTGTTAATCTCCTAAAAAAGTTATTTGCATACCATTAGTGGTAAATAGTCTAGGAAACAAAATTCTTATACCAACATTCATTGTTCAAACAATGGGAGACGATTATGTCCACTAAATATGACTGACTTGCGCTGTCAAGAATTTGGTTCAGTTTGTAAATGTTAATAATAGCTTGCCCGGTCCTTGATTTTCGAAGAACTTCTTCAAGATTAAAATCAGTAGCAAAGCTTGAAATTCGCGCCCTTTTGGGCTTTGATTGTTCGCCTAAGCTAAAATAATTTTACACTCAGCATATACAAATTGAATGACAAACATATACCTACTTTTCAATTGATTGAAAAACGTTTATTACGCCACATTCGTCATTCGTTACGTCTATTCCGCCGTGATCTTGAGAAGTTGACGGTCCGGCTTCATTCACCAGTGTAATGTTCCTATAAAATAATAGATATGGTTTAACAAATAAGGCTATACTTCCATAGAAACTACTAACAAAAGATGATTATCCGGTGACAGTTGAAATGGTTCATTGATATGTACTATTTGATCACTGGAAAAAAAGTATGTTCTACTAATTTGCAAAAAAATTTAAATTCTGACCTGTGTTCAGATATCAACGTTGATGATGCACGACTCGATATGGAATCATTTTCTCTAAAATCCACAAAATGAAAGCAAAAAACAAACTTCCATGTAAGAATTTACCTGTGAAATGAATCCAATAAGTAGTAACTCTGTAACAAATAGCTAGTGTTATTAGGTAGTAGACAAATAGATATTTCAAATACGCACCTGATGACTATCACTCGCTATTGTAGCACTTAACTTAATTTTTTCTTCTTCGATTCGTTTACGAAGGATTACTCTATGACCTATTTTGGGCACAATTGTAGCCAAGTCGGTGTCAGAAATGTTTAAAAGAACTTCCTTATCTATGTCGTTTTCTAAAAAAAAATGAGCATATTAGTCAATGTTTTACATTAATTGTTACAATATATATTTCTAAGTTTTGAAACAAAATTTATTATTACTAGGTATTAAATTACTGAAAATTGCACTTACACTCAAATTTTTCTATGTATTGAGGATATCCCCAAACCGTTAAAACGTCCCTACAATAACTATCGCCCATGTTTCGTTGTAAGAATACCAAGCAACAAACTTACGCAAAGCCGCACGAATAATGAATGTTGTTGAAAATTAAATTCGTCTCTTAAAAATAACTAATCCGGCGTCAGCAAGTCAGCACAATGAATGATATCTACTTCACTGGGTATTACTCCATTCAATTTTTAAATAACGAAATGACTTTATAACACATACTGCTGAGAAAACCGGATACTTTTTTGTAACCAGTGCTTTGTTCACTATATAGGCACAGTGTTTAAATAGATACATTTCTTGCATTTATTTTTATCCATTGTAAATTTCCATGGCACACAGTATAATATTTTTTAAGGGAAACGTATTTCCTTCCAAATCTAGATGGGATACAGCAAAATTATTTGAGCTAATAAATAACATCTTATGTTTGATGAGTAAGACATTTTATTATTATATCCATTGTGATAATCTATTACGAAACAAATACGGTTTTATACCAAAGTTGAGATGTCTTTATTATAAAGTCACGCAATTTTTATGTAATAATTGTAACAGATACGTATACGGTTACTATATTAACTATTTCCATAAGGTTAAATATTAATCAGCAATCCAAGTTGGTTGTTTGTAACCTTATAGCATATGATGTATCTTTCGTACTTTCATTAATAAGAATTGGTATACTATTTGTTACATTACATTGTTACATTTGTTACTACATTCAGTTAATATCCATCTCATGGTTCAGTAATATAACGTGAAATTATTAAACGACTTTCTTGGCGTGTTTGTTACCAAATAATAAATACCTTACAGTAGTCTAACAGATAATTCATTAAAATATGACGATTTCTTCTTATAAAGTAAGAAGTATATCTAATAGAATCGATAATTTAAGTAAAATATCACTAAGGTGTTTATAAAGAAATATCCCGATACCCTATATTTGGTAATAATAAATGAGATTTTTCTCTCTGTGTACTTGTGACATACAACATGGAAACTTAGAATGCTGACGTTGGGAATTACTATGTAAAATTAGACATTCGCATTCGCTTTTTTACAAGAACTTCATTCTCTATCTGCATTCTAAAGGTAGGTATTCACGTTCAGTTCGCCGGCCGGCCATGGACTGTCAGTCCACGGCCGGACGATCGCTTTTCACTACACACGTAGAGGCAGACGGCCGGCGAAATCCTGTCGCCTGTCTATAGCGGTGAAGATCGTAACGTGTGTACTGCTTAGCCGGCCGGCATAGGACGGACGGATTAATTTTAGTCTGGAGTAAAATTTTGTCCTATGCTTGCCGCATAACAGTGTCTGTTTTGTAATACCATTGAATAATAAATCTGATATTCAATGGTAATAACTAAATTCAATAAGTACGCGAAGCAATTGTCATCCATTCCCAGGTAGTTCTTTAAATCAATTTCACTTGATTTTCGGAGTTCTCGTATTATCTCCATGTGAGATAAGGTGTGACGTTTTCTGAGCAGTCTTTCACCCAAATTTTCTACAGTTTTCTCCTTTCTCTTCTTCTAAAATTACAACAATCGTCTTGTTCTAACATACCTATATCAAGCAACTGTCGATCATAGACTGTGCGTGTGTATTGAATTTAATACGGCCGGCCGGCAAATATCGTATCCGATTATGGGCTGCCGGCGATGGCCGGATGTTAAAACTGAACGTGTGTATTGACCAACGATCACGGTCGGCCGGCCTGGACTGACAGTCCATGGCCGGCCGGCGAACTGAACGTGAATACCTACCTTAAGTTTCTGAACTCATAAGTCAGTGGAAGTAAAATAATCATTCCTCTAGGTAGGTATAAGTATAATCCAACGTTTATTACTTTTTTCATTATTCATGTCGCAAACTTTTAATAAAAATTTACCCGAACACACAATTAAATGTTGAAGAACTTCTTTACTAATTTATGATTTTGTTTTTAGAAATCGACATCGTCAACCTATTAACTGATATCAATATAAAGTTGGAAATGATCTCTAATCGGCTGGAAAATATAGAGAAAAATTGCAACATCCATGCGCAGATTAAGGCGCCTCTGAAGTAAATTTGTTGTGCTAAACGGAGTGTGTAAAGTTGCCTAACCTCTTCAAAAGAGCATGTTACAAGTAGAAAGAGATGATTGAATTTGTCCCATTCTATTTGGTGTCTCTTTATTTATAACCTTTCAATGGATTTAATTATAAATGCAAGGAGCCTAATTACACTTGCCTAATGAGCTTTTCTATTGATATTAATAAATTCATCTTGTTTATTTATTGCATGGTAATTAAAATACTATTAGTTTACGTATTTTCCTGTTTAGTGTTTATTCAAAGGATTTTGAGTTTTTCAAGTATGGATATTTTTCTCGAAAGCAATATTTTGCATATGGTGCACTATTATTACCGGCGATTGTAAATTAGGCCGATGGTTAGGTACCTCATTATTATAAAGTATATGAAAATTTGGTCGATGTCCAATTTAGATTGAGACACCACAAACCGAATCAATCTAGTTACGTTTGTTGATATACAGGAGGAAAGCGAAACGTTTTAGGTTTTGTGATGTTATCATATCTTGCTACCCATACAAAATAGAAGAAAGGTAATAACTATCAGTTTTAGATATTTTTACGTAGAATCTAGTGGACTATTATAGTAAGAAAAGTTTTGGACCACTCTGAGATTTGATCCGAAGTTCGAAAACAGTTGTACAAAATCATCATTGTGACACCGAAATAGAAAAATTTTTCTATTTCGGTGTCACAATGATGATTTTGTACAACTGTTTTCGGCCGAAAACAGTTGTACTAAGACAGTGATTATAGTGGCATAAAAAGTGTTCCCAACATAAAACATGTTAGTTCTAATGTTCCCTATAGTTTCTGATAATGATTTTTTTAATTAAATTAAAGCCCCGAAATAGAAAAAATAGTATGAAAAACGCGTGTTACAATGCTTTATTGTAATACTCCTATATCTTGCGGACACTCGTGGCTACGCTTCGCGTCGCCACTCGTGCCACAAGATCGTCTTATTACAATAGGTCGCATTGTAACACTTGTCTTTCAATATACTATTTTCTTATTGTAAATATTTGTATACTGTATATAAAAGTATAACATTTCTTTGTCTATTTTTTAAAATCATCTTTTCCTGATACTTATGAGCCCCTTCACTGTTGTTGTGAGACGTATCCCTACATGTTTTATATTCAATAAAGATTTATCGCAATAAATTCGTTGCTGGGTATTTACTATGATCATTATTGACCAAATTACCTATTTGTTATTTACGTGCCTAACATGAATTTAATTTTCATAGAAAGTCTAAAAAGTGTTAAAGCGGAACCGCTATTGATAAAAGGAGCTGCGAAAGTGATTAAATCACCCAAATCTTTTTTCAAAATTGGACCTTTTCTATAAAAGATGAAAAAATAGCTATCCGTACGAATAGTGGACTTTGTTAGCAGATTATACTGCGTTCCATTCGGTCAAAATTACGTTTCGGTCATTTTGCCGTATGTACATATCTGCCGTCCTAAGCTAAAAAGACGCATCTCAATATTTTTCCGATTTTTATATTAATGGTTTTAAGGACTCCAGATACGATGTTTAACTTATTCCCTTAGCAAAAAAGACGCATTTCAACTCCATAGTGCTTAAAAATTGCTAATAAACTTAGACGCATCTAAAAAAAAATAAAAAAACCTAATCAGTTTGGACGTATCTCAATTTCCTAAGCAATATAGACGGTTCTCATAGATGCGCCTTTTTCGCTTAGGATTTTTGGTAATGCAGAGTGCGGGTCTTGTACAGTGCGTGCTTAGATGCGTCCAAATTAGTTAATTTATGATTCTACATCGTAGTTAGTAATTCATTTGTGTAACCAGATAGGCGGTAAAACATACGAACAAGGGCGTGGTCGGCGGTTTAACCTTTATGACAGTTTTAAGTAATTTAGTAGTGCTTGTATTAGTAAAGTCAACTGTTTGCGCATACGATATAAAATTGTCTTTGATCGGGGTGATAAACGATTAGAGTAGGTAAATAGGTACCTATTTAGTGCCTATATAATAGTTGTAACAAGAGACAGATTGGCTACACACTGTCAGCAGGTAAGTAATTATATATGATTTTCTTTATTCAAGTAGGTATATCGGATTTTCAGCGAGCATAATATACCCTATTTTATAGCAGACGTTAAATTGACATTCCACTCAATGGTTAAAAAATCCCTTTATCGTTGATAAATTAATAATACGTTACGATGAAATGCCCATTATTTTAGTATTTTTTGTTTACACTGCTTTTTCAGATTCAATGGACAGAACACAAGGGTCTCGCGGAAACAAGCTGGTCATGTTGGCGCTGAACAAGAAAACTAAACAAACGTTCCAACCCGCGGTAAAAATTAAAAACCGTGAGACGTCGGAAGATTTAGATTATTATCCCACTGACACTAGTTCGCAAAATAATGATAGTGATAGCGACACGACAAGTGAGTGCAAGGAAGAAAATAAAAATTGTTCTTCTAATTTAGTTGTGAAAAGTAGCGCTGGTCATGGAGTTATTAACGACATTAACTCAGGGAATTCTCTGACGGAAATCTCACCTGTCACACGCATACCCTCGAGAAGTCCAGTCCTTCTCGATATTTCTAGCTCTATTGTGCCAGTTCACTTTGATACTCCCGAAGTAGAGGACTCACGCTCTTTTATGACAGAAGTAAGAAATTCTGAGTTAGAGACAGTCACTGAATTATTTGAATCAACACGCTCTTTTATGACAGAAGTAAGAAATTCTGAGTTAGAGACAGTCACTGAATTATTTGAATCAATTACGGAAGCAGTCGAGCCACCAGTTCAAGGCGAGGTTGTTGTAGCGGATCCTGACGATTTCGTAGATATCGACGGCGCTGGAGTAAGTAATAACGCATCTGTGGTCCAATACACTAAAAAGGGAACAGTTCGAAAAAGAAAAAAGTTCGAGTTGTCAGTGAGTTCAAGAAAAAAAGC